CTACAGTCTCTTCCTTGGATTTCTACAGTCGAGCCATCCCCAAATTTGACCGACCGTCAAATTGTCGTGTCAATTTCAGCAAATTTTTCGATACAACCGGCCATGTGGTTACTTGCACCGGTATCTAAATACCAAGCCTTCTCTCGGGTGTTTTTAAACTTTGACACCACCTTGTTTAATGTTATAACACCTGCTCGTTCTGTATTGCGTGGCTGAGACACAAGTTTCTGTCATCAACAATGCTGGTCCATTTCGGTTTGCGCTGTAACAAGGTTTTCTTTTTCTCTTCGGTTTGGTTTGGGACACTCTTTTGCAAAATGATCATATTCATTACAATTGAAACACTTAACCTTAGATTTGTCGAAGTTACGTGGCTTTCGGTCTTCACCTCGACCTCCACTATATCCACGCCCACGACCACGTCCTCTGCCGTGACGTCCTCCTTTTTTGTTGTTGTTGGAACCTTCATCTTTCTTTGCCTTTGGGATTCTTGCCTCCCACTCGGCCAGGGTAAGGAGTAACTGTTCTCCACTACCCTTTGAGTGCAGTCGCCCTTTAAGCCCTTCCTCGAAGGTCTTGAGACGACCTATCGCCTCCGATACCGGCATCTTCTCAGTATCGTCAAATTGCTCAATTGTTCCAATAATTTGGAGAAATCTATCTGGAACTGCACTGAACAATTTTTCAATAACTTCGCTGTCGTCAAACTTCGTGCCCAGTGAGCGGATCTCACCCACCAGCATGGTAAGCTTCATGGAAAATTCGTTTATTGTCTCTGAATCCTCCATGTGTAACTTGTTCAGTTGTCGTTTCAACACCTGTACGCGTGCCTTCTTAACACGATCTTCACCGACTCGTATCTCCCTGAGTGCGTCCCAAGCCTCCTTTGTCATCTCTTTCTCCGCGATTGCCATCATCACGTCATCCGACACGGCTTGAGAAATGACTACCATGGCGCCTTGATCTTTGTCATCGTCTTTTTCGTCACCTTCAATCACTGACCATACTCCTAGTGAAAGCAAGATTATCTTCATCTTGACAGCCCATATGTTGTAGTTCGTTTCATTTAAAATTGGAAATTGGATCGGGATTGAGGCTCCTCTTGTCGTTGGTTTGATGACAACAAGTGTCTTAGATGAATCTCCATCATTTCCGGTCATTTCTTTGACAACTTCGCTCTGATACCAAATGTAGGTTTTCAAAGCCAAACTTTAAACGCCAACAAAAATGAAAGAATTTTTTAGTACTTAACACCCATTACATTTTCTGGTTTTCTATATATAAGAAAATACAAATTATAACCGAACAATAACTACACATCACATTTTTCTGAAAATAAAAACTAACTATCCACTTAACGGTTTTCATAACCGCCTAATCCACATGAAAAATGTGCAAAAAAACATAAATAATTTCTAGAGACAACTAGATTAACTCAAC